CAGAAGAAAAATATAGAGCAGTTATTTACAAAACTTGAGAGAGATACAAAACAACGTGGGGTCAACAAAACAAACCCTCACGAACAATTTTTCGGTCCTCAAAAAAGTGCAGGAATAAATTTGACTGCCTTGTCTACGAAATACTGTTTTAACCGGAACTCAAACCATCGCGGCTTAACGTGCAATCTGACTCTATTCGAACGAAGCTTTTCTATTAGGATATCTGGATCTGAATCAAGCGTTCACGAATTCCATCTAATTTATTCAAACCTCAACTCTTTTAACAACTTTGACACAATTACTGATTGTCATCCTTGATAATGATGTTAGAAACATCGAAACATCAAATAACGCTCCTTAGTTTATTCTTGTTACAAATGTAAATGCTTTAACAAGAAACTGAACATCCGATAACTTTAATAGTTTAAACGAATTTCATTGGTCATCTTGAAGGGACATAATAGCTGATGTCTCAATCACGAGCTTTTATCAGAGTAAGTTGGGTCTGACAAACAGACAAGCTGTACTTTTTCCGGCTCAAAAAACAAACAAAGAAAAAAAAATAGGCAAGATGTGTCTCTAACAAACAAACCATACAGATGAATCCCTTACCAAATCAGGAGGAATTTCATTAGCATCGTGCAGAAGAGATTTTTCGAAGTCTCTGTACCTTTCCAACATCCTTGCCATTGTTGCTGAAGTTTGAGTTTGTCTCTCGTGTATTTTCTCAGGATCGGAGATAACAAGTGTTTTTCTTTTCTTTGGTGTACTGGGCTTGCTATAAGGACAATATTTCATATTCAATTTGAGCTTGTGCGCACATTAAGAAGAAATGAAATGTCACGGGGCTTTTCAGAGATATGTGGTAAGAAGCGTACCAGTTGGCTATTTTACAAGGGTGGCCAAGAATTTGAAATTAGGAAAACAAATCCAGCTAGCGGTCAGGGGGGGACTTAAAGTCGGAGCCTAAGAATTAAAAGTACAGCGCTCAAACCGCTCGGCCACGCTGCCTCCACGAATACGGCTGATCTTGCAAAGGGACTCAAGAAAATCAGAACAAACGGTTAACGTACAGACCTGTAAATGACATGACGGTAATCGTACAATGACCAACTTAACTTCACCCGTTTCCCGGGGAAATTAAAACCTACATGTAGTTGCTATTCAACACTATCGATGACCGGACACATCAAGCTTCGTTGACTTAGCCCGTGCCAGGCTGTCAGATAGTGTAGTGGGGACGTGTGAAAACGAGCAAAGCGGAAATAAGACGCACGCGACTTGGGAAAGGGGACGCCCTGTCTCTCCCCAGCCCCTGTGCGTTTTTTGCATTTCTTTCTACTGAACGACTTTCACCACTCTCTTGGAGCCTGGAACGAGCTATCGGTGACTATGCTTTTAAAGCTAAAAATATGCGCAGTAGCGAAAGAAATTTTCTACGACTCAGACCTGATCGGACGAGCATATTTTCAAAACAGAAAAATATTCTCATCCAAATTGTTTATCTGCTGCTAACAGCTTTAGTTAGCCGAAACGGTGTATTTCTCAGGTTCAAAAGTATAACAAATACTAATTTAGGCATTGCTATTTTGGCCATTACCTTGACGTTTGGTCAGCAGCAGAGTGTCCACCCGACTGCAACGAAAAAAAAATGGACAAAACACAAATAAATACAATTAGCCGTACAATCGACCAAAAACAATTATCTTTAAAAGGAAGAAAAGAATTTCGTAAAAGTACCTGGTTTATCAATTCAGAATCTCAGATATAGACTGCATATAGTCTGGACATCAAGTCCTGGTTGTGACGTTTTGCAGGATAGTACTATCCACCGGATATTAAATTATTATCCAGCGAATAATCATTTTAAGGAAACCAACCGTGCGTTATCCACTGGGTAGAGATAATTATCTAGCGAATAACATTATCCACGTACAGTACAACTGAGGTCAAGTCAAGAATAAAGGCGCAGCTTATCACAAAGGCTTTTTTTTTCGCACCAAAAAAGGGGACAATTATTCGAAGGAGGCGATTTTTTTCAAATATTGCTCACTGGAAGTCATGCCCTAAATATTCTGTTTCATTATCCCATTCAATCAAAAAAATAAATTCATCAAATAAACTGAACATGGGCTTTTTTAAGTGTTCGAATTTGCTTCCTTGATTAATTTTCAATGTCAACATCATAGGCGTCAGCGCTTGAATTCTCAATGATCAGGATGATCATTGAGAGGGGATGAAGAAAGAGAACGGAAAAAGGGAGGGGGTGAAAAACAAGGGAATATAGCTAGGGGGGGCTGGTTAATTATTCGAGGTAGATGATTAGTTTAAATATTTCCGTCAAAGGGGGAAGATTATTCGAAGGAGGCGATTAACCCTTCGACGAATGCTTTGATCTTTTTCGTTCCGTTTTTGATATTCTGACCAATCCTAAAAGAGTTACACTCACAAAGGCAACATTGTTGGAAAAAATGCACTGCCAATTACTACACTTTGAAGATTAAATTTGTCCCTTTCCTAAAAAGTTGGCCAGCCACAATTCCATTTAAAAGAAAGACGATGAAGTGGGCAACAAAACTGCTAATAAAGAAGAAAAGCAAAGGAAAAAAGGAGAGCGAAAGAGACAGATAGAAATAGATTCGCAACAAAAAAAACGTCCGATTAGTCAGAAAAAATACATTTTTTGCAAAACCTATTTTTAGCCAATCTTATCCTAATTAGCCGAAAACCAGTCCAAAGAATAGGAATTGGTGAAAAATGCGGTTTTTTCGCTAGTCGCTGGCCGTCACCAAAGGGTTAATCGAGGGACGGCTATTATTATTTTGAGGAAATACGGTATTTGTGAAGCAATAACGACTTCCCTGACTCTGCAAATTTCTACCCAGTTACCACTGACTCAAGGCGTTGGGGGTACACCTTGGATGGAAGAATCAATCGGAAATGATGACAGCTACACTGTATTATATATTCAAGCTTGCTATGTACATGTACTTAAAAAACTTGTTTGTTTGTGTCTATACCTTGGTGACCAGTGGAGTTTTCTTGTTGGCTTTTTCATCACTGACAGCCACATACAAACAGCCCACTAAGAACTGCAAAGGAAAAGCAAAATCTCAGCGAATTAACACCATGCTTGACCTATCATTGTGTCCATTGTTAAAATAAATGATTGGATAATGAAGATTAATACTACGTTATGCATACTGCCAATTCTGAGACAACAAGGTTACATGTAGCCCACTAGGTGGTTTCAAGAGTGGAATTCCTTGGTTTCCAACACCACGTCCTTTCAAACAAGTAGTTAACGTAACTGAATTCCCTAAACAGCTCTAGTAGACCTTCATGTGGATTGATTGACCAGGAAAAAAGCAACAAGCCTATCTCAAGTTGGAGACATAAAGCAACGTCCTCAATTTTTTCTTAGTGTTAACAGCAATACTTAGATGAAGTCCATCTAAGGTTATCTATAAACGAAAAAGGTCTGGGTACAACATCTGGATAAGGATCTCGTCCCCCTGCTAACATTGTGCAATAAGGTCGTCTTTGACTGTTTAAACTTATAACGATGGCGTGGATGGGTTTAAATGGACTCATGAAAGAGCCAGCTCACGTGCTCTCGTGCCATACTCTCGTGACTAGATAGCTGACTCTTATTATTACACTACGAATTCAATGTGAATAAGCAACAATTGGCTAATTGCCTACAGATTTGTGATAAATCCATTTTATAGTTACCTGCTGTTCATGTTCCACACCTATATAGCTGGCCAGCCTTTCATTTATTTCATCTTTAATGTTGTACTGTGATAAAGGTACATTTGTGCCTCTAGTGCTAACTGGAATGCACCTGTAGATATGGGCAACAAACCGGCATACTGCTCCCTAGAGGAACACATAAGAAAGACATTATTCTGTGACAAAATTGGTACATCTTTCTTGGACTACAAATATCACGGTAAGAATACTAATTGACACTACTTTGGTTTAGTAAAAAAAATTAAATAAAACAAAACACAAATTGGAGCAAAATGTTTTTTTGTTTTTTTTTTATCATAACGACATAAATGATTACAAATGACGTCAGCTGAACAACTACGATATGAACCTCCTAAGTAATGCGATGTTTTATGAAGGACGTGAAAATAATAATGACGACGGATTTTCCTTTCCCTTTTTGAAGCTGCATAGAGCCCTTAAGAATTCAAGTCCAGCAGAAAATTAATCACCTACATTCACAAAGTGAGCAAGTCCAAATAGACACGAGAAAAATTTTAACGATGCGAATTCATTTTGTTGGCAACGTTTTTACTACCGTCTCGTCATCTTGTAGCTTAAGATCCCTAATATATAGAGGATATTACACGGTGGCGAGAAGATATGAATTTTATGTTCGAGTGGCAAGAACAATATCTCACGAGTGAGCGAAGCGAACGAGTGAGATATTGTTCTTGCCACGAGAACATAAAATTCATGGAGAAACCAATTCAACAAAAGCAAAAGGCGGGAATCGTGACATCATTGAACGATACGACACTCACAAAGGTGACATACGGAAAATACGCCACTCGGGTCCCGGATGAAGTGGCGTATGGAATCTACGAGTCGTTTAGTTCCCAGTAAAACACTCTCCTCCATATAATAAATAGAGCTACGTGTACTGCAAATACCGTAAAATTCCGAAAAAAAGCCCCTCCATGTATAAGCCCCTCCAAATATAAGCCCCCCAAACCGGTAACGCAAAAAACCCTCCGTTAAATTGCCCCTCCAAATATAAGCCCCCCGGGGGCTTGTACTTGGAGAATTGCCATCAAATACAAAGTAAAACAAAGTAAAAACGATAAATTTACTTCCAATAATAAGGCTAGCCCAATCGATTTTGAAACGCAAATTTCCCTCCGTAGATAAGCCCCTCCGTATATAAGCCCCTCCAAAAATAAGCCCCTCAAAAAGGGTCTTTGAAAAATATAAGCCCCAGGGCTTATTTTCGGAATTTTACGGTATGTTAAGAATCAGAACCACCGCTCACTAGAGCAACATGACTGAAAAACAGACTGTCACAACTGCAGTTACTTGGTTACAATTCCTGTGGTTGTACACTACCTTCATTTCTTGGGTAACAAACAACTGCAGACCGCCATTACAGAGAGTTTTCCTGAGTGAAAGGAGGAAATTGTTGACATATGCTCCAGGAAATGAATAAAGAGTGGGCTGTTCTGTTGAGCTTTTATGACAACTTGGCTCTTTTTTTCCACCAGAGAGGACATCTAGGCACTTTGCAAGACTAATCTCTAGCCCAGGGACTTTTTCTCTGCAGAAAATCAATGTTTTTAAAAAGTGAAAATGACATTGTATTAATGACAGACAGTGTATAAGACCAACGCAAAACCAGAAATTACAGTACTACTCAAAAGTAAGTTACCAGCCTCTCACGAGATGCGAATCGCGTCGGGCACTACGCGATTCCTGTAGCGCAGGGCACGATCCTCGTAGTACATGATGGCGATTCTTGTCGCACCGGAAACGGGACGCGACGGGTTACTTACTTTTGAGCGGTACTGTAGACCCCACTATAACCAACAAAATTCTCCTCACAAATTACAGCTGTATCATAGACAAATGAGTAAAAAAAGAACCCGATATCACATAACCTTGTTAGAACAAACAAATTTCCCAGCCACTTTCCACTGTGCCAAAAGACACTAAAGAATGTCACCTGTATACCCATGAAAGAACACACGGACGTCAAGAAAGATGGTCTTAAATGTAAGCACGGTTCATACAACTTCAGCAATCAAATATCAAGGACTTTTCGAGGATTTTTCAAGGCCAAATTATAGTTTTTAAGGACTAAGATTTATTTAATAAATCGGCATTCTTTACCCCCCTACGATCACCCTATTGGCTAAAACACTTCATGGAGTCATTTACAATTTTTACTTCTTCGGCCATCGTTGATCACATTATTTTATACTACTTTCCACAACAAGACTTTGCAAAATGACTGGGTACGACTTGCAATTGCATCTGAGGTACAGAAATAGCATTTGAAATAAAGAAACAGAAATAAAATATTGTCCATGCACAAAAATGTTTTTACGTCACTCGTGAGTTTTACAGGTTCTTACACCGAGGATGAGACAAATATTTCTTGGCAAAATAATGTAATTTTACAGAAAAAGGTGTTTGGAATAGACAAGGTTGTGAATTTCAAAGACTTTTCAAGACCTAATAAAGAAATTAAGTACTTTTTAAGCACCTAAACCGAATTTAAGGACTTTTCAAGACGATTAGTAAAATTCAAGACCTTTTCAAGATTGTAAGTCACGCTACAATGATGTTACCAGTACCTTCCATGTGCTGGTAACCTTTCAGCAACAGACACGAGTAGCTCTAGTAAAGAACACAGACACTTGACAAACTGATCCAGCACAGGTATATTGGGTAGTCCAGTCCAAGGTAACAATCCAGTTATTACATCAAGTGCTGCCTGTAATGGAATTATCACACCAAGACAGCATTTAAAACTTCTCTATTCACAAAACTTTGAATAACAGACATTTTAATTATACTTTTGAAAGGCAGTAAATAGAGGGAGGGGCTTATTTAAGAAGGAAGCTGATTTCATTTAAAGGGGCTGTGTCACAGCAGTCCAGTTCATTTTGTTTAATTTTGCCGATTACTCGCCCTCAATCGCTATGGAACTTAAAGCAAGCAAAGGAATTACATGTAAATGACAAAATCAGAGATCCGAGACAAACAAATATGTCTCCTGAGCATTATTTTTGAAGTTGCAAGCAGCAGGGATCAACTTTGAAAAACTGTCAGGCTGAACAGTTTTCAAAAACCCTAATTTCAATCAGTTTCAATCTTCTTCAGTTTTGCCCATCCGTGGCATCTGTTGTTTCTGTTATGTTATATTAACCTTCCTTTAAAGTTTTAAGCGGTTATTTTTATGTTTCTCTTAATTTAAAGGGCATTTTGTAATTTTCTAATTTGGCTGAATTTTGTGACACAGCTCCTTTAAGGAAGACGATAGTATCAATTCTCCACAAATGCTAAAATGCGACGTGGAAAAGTCTAGGCCCATGAAGTTGGAGGTCATTCAGCCAAAAATCAAAAGCAAATCCAAAATTCCAGCATATGAGAGAAGATAAACAATAGGTAAATACTTACATTGACTAATCAAGTAACACACCTGTTTAACATTAAGGAGACCCGTCTTTATCATCTGGCAACAAATTTTCCATAAAACGTCTACATTGTCTTGGGCAAACTGGTAAACATCACCAATGACATTGGCAATTATCTTACTGTAAAGTTAATAAGTCAAATAAATTTCATTAGATAGTTTTTATGTGGTCTGGGATAATACACCTGTGAGTAAAAATATACTGGTATATAAACAATACCAGTTCCAGTTTGAAGAAGACATTTAACATGGCTTCTGATATTTCGTGCGGTCACGGAGCCACAAAATTCAGGTAAATCCGCGAAATCCAGCGGGAATTCACAAAAACACGCAAAATACCGCAAAATTCGGTAAAAATCTTATCAAATGCATGCCTGTACAACATATTTGAAACTTATCTCAGCTATTGGGGCTATTAACATGCCGTAAACTTGCAAATTTATCTTGAAACTTCGTCACTGAGACGTGCAAACAAGGTCCCAAAACTACGAGGCGTAGATTATGTTG